AGAAAATGTTATTGATATAAATGGTAAATATTTTTTATTATTGTATATTTATGTAAGTTTCCCAAAGAAAAAAGGCTCCGAAGTAAAAATATAAGTGTTTCCTGATTTCTATTGTTCGATTGATCAAAATTTCTGAGAACTATTTATTTTCTTGAAATGAGTAAGATGATTTTTCAAATGACGGTGTGGAAAACAAGTTATACAAGTAATATTTCACATTAATAGTATCTTTTTCACATTCCAACACACATCTTCAACTTCGAAAACAAGTTATACAAGTAATATTTCACATTAATAGTATCTTTTTCACATTCCAACACACATCTTCAACTTCACACTCCGTAGTAAGGTGGGTATGGTATGGTACGATACGATACGATGCGGTATTTGAAAGTTGTGATATTGTAACCTCGGTATATAATTTTAAAATATTATACTATTACTGTACCAATTTAATTTGATATGATTTGGTGAATTGAAGTTTAATTTTGGTGTTCTACAATATGGTAAATCGATAGCCATAATTTGTTCATGTTCAATTAATATATACTTATATAATAGGGTATTATGACTCCGAAATTAAAAAAATATCTAAATTGTATCATATTAATACATTACACATGTGATATATATATATATATATATATATATATATATATATATATATATATAGGCTGAACTCATAAACAGATCCCTAAACTTGTTTGGTTTTTTCCTTCAGGTACCTCAACTAAGTCATTTTCCTATTGAATCAATCAATCACCCATAATTTATTCCTTTAAAACACTATTGACTGATTTTGATCAGTTTTTCTATTATAAATAACTTGAATTTTGTTCGTATTGTAATGATTTTAATTGAAGGAATGAAGATAAACTCTGTGTTAGTCTCATTTGTTTTCTAGTGTGTTCGAATGACTTGAAGTAAAACATAATTCTTTTCAAACAGTTTCACTATCAATAAGACTGATAAGTTTTGGAACAATATATGTATTCTCTATCAATACCCGTTAAAAAATTTGGTTCAACATCAGCCAATTGTGTTTAAAAGAAACAAATTATGAGTAGTTTAATGATTTAATTGGAAAATAACATAGTTTATGTACCTAAGGGGAAAAATTCAATAAAAATTTAGGGTATATATATGTATGTATGTATGTATATATATATATATATATATATAAGTTTTAACTTCTAGACATTTATTTTATACTAATACTAGGTTGAATATTTGTAAGTATTTTAATAAAACATATATATTTTTATTTATATAATTATATACTTCGATATGGTATTCGATATTTCAATTTCTTATGTCTAAATATCAAATATCGTACCAAATACAAAAAAAAATTAAAATGTATATCAAATGCCATAATACTAAAATTACAGTATTAAAAATTTTGATATAATATGATATTTCGGTGTATATCATATCATGTGTACTCTTACTCCGTAGTTCCTATTTGCGCTCACTTTGTACCCTTTATCTTCACATCTCATTAGGAGTGTGTATTCGATTTTTCGATTTGATTTTGTATTATTCTGTTTGAATATTTTTATTTTTTATTTTGAAGAAGTGTAACTCAATGTGAATCAAAATAAATTAGATTTGGTTTGATTTTTTTTCCAGTTTGATATTCAATTATGCATATATACATAATTATATAATTCGAGTTTTTTGATTTTTATTTTTCTAAATTTGAAACCAAATAAAAAAACAAAACAAAGTAAATTATTTATCCAAAAACAAATCAAAAAATTAAAAATTCAATTCAAATTGAAATTGTGTTTGATTTGATTTGTTTTTTTATTAAATCTAAATAGTGCATCCTCCAATATCCTATAATATTTGTCTTAGATTATTTATAAATATTTGGAAAAAGACTTTGATATATCCCTCAACTTAGTTATTGAGAGTTAATCTCTTTTTTATGAAAGAAACTCATATATACTCTTATTATTATTCAAACGACTCACATATATTTTACCATTACAAAATAAGCTCATATATAGAAAAAAATTAATTCTAAATTTATATTTTATATTTTTTGTTTGCCTGCCTAACACAACAAATAAAGAGAAAAAATAGATGTTTACTACAAACACAATTTCTAATAAAATATTATTCATGAAAAAATCTAATCTGGTTTACTTGTCATGATGACTAAAAGTATTTAGCCCCAAATATTTTATCATTTTACAAAAAATAAATTATTATTACTTTTTTATTTTTATTTTAATAAATGTGTAGAGAGATAATTGTAGTGGAAGAAAAACTTGGAGTAAGTAAAAAAAGAACTAATCGAACAAACATCTCTACCTTATCTACTAAATTTCACTATACTTAAAAAATAATTATTTTTACTGTTTTACAAAGAATAAACTAATTTAATTTGATTTGGAGTTTTAAAATATAAAGAAAATTTTTAAATCTTTTGTTCTAATTAAAAATTAGGTCAAATGTACAAAATTGTCATTTCATCTTGTGACTTAAAACATGACACATAAAAAATTGAAATTAAACTGTTGTCAATTTTTTTATTTTTTTTAAGCAGACTAAAAGATAATATCATTTTATTTAAACGAAGGGAGTACATAGTATTTCAACCCCCTCCCCGGCCGCCCCCGCCCATGTTAAAGGCATAATTGCACCAAACACTTGTCTCAATGCACAAAAAATATATATGGATAATTATATTTTCTTCATTTAAAAAAATATTAATCAGATATATTGAATACATCATAAAATGCACATATAGATATATTTTGATTTTTATATCTTCTTCATTTAAAAAAAAATATTTATCAGAACATTGAATACATTATAAATTTGATATCGTGTGAGTTTGTTTATATATATTGGTTCTTATCATAACTAATCTATAATTATGTACATATACAACATATATTATGCAAATCTATGTTATAACTATCGATGTATTTTTATAAAGGCTACATTAAATTGATACTAAGTATTCAAAATGAGATACATACAGTAGATACATTAATACATATTTGATATTGACACACATATACATGGAATTACAAAAATCATGATACATTATAAAATATGATTTCAGAGAAGTAAAAGGATGAGAGAGTGAGAAAGACTAAAGACCCTTCACTGGATACAATGTTTAAAGGCAAATACAGTGTATTCAACAACAATTCAAACAAGACATATAATTAATAAAACTATCCATGTGTTTGAGTAATTAGCAGCGATATCAGTGAACTTTATAAAAAGTGCTAAAATAAATAAATAAAAGTCTCTAGTTAACTGTATATTAGGATATAGAAATGTGAAACATGACAATTAAATGGGTGAAGTGTGCAAGTATTTGCTTTTAGAATGATCATTGACATTCGATGGTCAATTGTTATTGCAAGTTTACCTATTTTAGGCACCACTTCAAATGTATGCACAAAAAATGAGAAATTTGCCTGCTTTTAGATATGTTTGTCTGGAAATGTCTTTGTGAAGGTCAAATATCAAACATTTTCTTGAAGTTTGGTATGTTTGTCTAGGCCAACTTCAAACAATTTTTTTTCTGGGGTTTTGAATTTGATATAGTCAAATTTAGTTCTTTTCAAAATTAAAGTTGTGGACTTGACGAAACATATATAATAGCTCGTCAATGACAATTCCAGTAAAATCTATGACCTCAAAAAATCTAACTTCATATATTAGTTTATCAAAGTTATGTATTGCAAGGTCAAAATTTAGATGATTTGACACAAAATCATCAAATTATATATTTTCCCTAACTTAAGATATATGCGATTAAAAAAATTAAGTGGTAAATCACATTACATAAATTCGACCACTATGATTGTTCGTTCCCTAAAATGAAAAAATAAATAAATTAAGAAAAATATTTCAACTAAAAATAAAATTAGAGAGCATTTCGATGCACTAAAGTTCTCTATGTGTGCAAAATTCATAAAAGCGTGTTGAATTGTAAGGGTTTACTATACTTATGTTTACTCCATATTTCTGCCAGAATCTGTTTCCATGACATGGACTTGTGATACTCATGTTCACTCCATATTTATGTCAGAATCTGTTTTCATGATATGGACTTGTGATACTTATATTTACTCCATATTTCTGCCAAAATCTGTTTCCATGACACTGACTTGTTATTTCTTTATCACATGACAATAATTTTACCAGTTATTCAAACGTTTCGCTCTAAATAACATTATCAATTATTCCAACATTCCCCTTTCAATAACTTTATTAGTTATTCCAACGTTCTCCCTTATGATGACTTCACAAGTTACTTAAACATTTCCCTTCAGATAACTTTACGATATACTCCAACACTCTTAAGTTCAATAACTTTATCAATTACTCGACCGTTCTCCTCCCAATAACTTTATCAGTTACTCCAACACTCTCCTCCCTTTTATAATTTTATCAGTTAGTCTATTCTTCCTTCTGATAACTTCACAAGTTAAACATTCCTTTTCTGGTAACTTTATCAAATATTACAACTGTTTCACTTCCCAGTTACTTGAGCGTTTCCCTTCCAATAACTTTATTAGTTACTCCAACACTCTCATACCAATAACTTTATCAATTACTTCAACCCTCTCCTCCCAATAACTTTACCAGTTTCTGAAACGCTCTCTTTCCAATAAAAAATAATCTAAAAATAGATAAGAGATACTTCACAATATTCCTAATATAAACAATACACTACCAATACCAATACCAATACTAATACTAATACTAATACTAATACTAATACCAAGTAGATTGAAACTCAAAAATCATCGAATTTTCTCTTTTAATGGTAACTCAAAATCCAACAACAGACGCGCCTCTTACATCAACACTATTCTCGCAAACAATCTCATTGGCCTCAGCTCGTCACCCGATCATCTAATTGGTCCGTGACTACTACGCGCTTCTATCCTCATAGGCAATAGCACACCTCGAATAAACAAGATTAGAATCCTTTAAAAGAGTTTATTGTTCTCTTTGCCATTTGTCTTTGATTTCCTCTAGCTAAATAAAATCCGATCACATATATATACATACATACATATTATATACACGTGAGTGTGTATATATATATATATATTAGAAATCCTCGAATTGATCAATTTTCAGATAACCTAGAGGCTTTATCAGTCGGGTTGTTAGGGATTTCTGGGAAGTTTTGTTTTGGGGAAAGTTTGATTAAGCGGAATGGCACAAGCTGTGGAAGAATGGTACAAGCAGATGCCGATTATCACCCGTTCCTACCTCACTGCCGCAATCCTCACCACAATCGGTTGTTCTCTGGAGGTATGGATATGATTCATCTTAAGGAAAAACATTAGACTTTCAAGATTGATTTTTTTAAAAAGTTCCCTGCAAAATTAATTCCTGGCACACAACATTATTTTAACTCGAATTTGAGGATTTTTTTTTTTGAGATATCAATGATAAAAATTGAGGGTTGTTTGTATGATGATTGTTTGTTAATTGGGGTTTGTAATTTGGGATGTTGAGATGAACCTTGATTAATGGATACAGGGGTTTCATATAGCTAACCCTAATTAATTTGGGATTGGGGTGTTGTTGATTGATTGTTGTAATTTGGGATGTTGAAATGGACCTGAATTGAGAAGAATGGATTTACATGTTGTATAGCTGGTCCTAACTAGTGTAGGATTGGAACTTGCACACGATGATTGTTTACCGTATCTACGTTAAACACTGTGGGTGCCACGGCACCAGGTGGTTTCGATTGGAACTATGTTTACATACCCGTATATCTATATTTATGTATCAGGATTATTATAAATATAAATCGTGGCACCCAGAGCAATAATGGAGCTCATGGTACCAACGGTCAAAGCTCAGCTTTTCCTCCCTAGGGACGCAAGTTCGAATCAGGCTGAGTTTATTTTATGGAACTATTTTAGCATGCTGGAATCATTGTTAAAAAAATTGTTAAGTTATGGTTTTCTAGATTAGAACGTTTGACCTCTTATAACTAAAATCTTAACTATACCAAGTAGACTAGAGTATATCTTGTACAAAATTACGCTGATGAATAATAATTGTTTGTTTCCTCTATGAATATTGCCACCACTTTTGCAAAATATTTCATACGTTACGCGACAAAGTAGCATGGCACCTGAAGCTTCCAAATCTTATTTTACTCTTTTCCTTAAACCGTTTATAGTAGCTCTACCCAGTATCCTACTTTCTGGTAGGTTTATCATTCAAATTGTTGATTTGTGATATTATGTAACGACAAAGAAAATTGCAGTATATCCAAATGTAATATTCATTAAAACAATACGGTACAATGCAACAGAACATGATACGATACATTATTAAACAATATGTAACAATCATCTACATAAGAATGTTGGTTGACTGATTGATTGTATTTTGTGTGTGTTGCAGATTATATCTCCTTATAACTTGTACCTGAACCCCAAGTTAGTGGTGAAGCAATACCAGGTGTGGCGCCTGGTTACAAATTTTCTCTACTTTCGGAAGATGGGTAATTTCTCATCTCCCAGCAGTTAGCTTCTTTTTCTGAAAAGATTTTTTCCTCCTTTAGCTTTAGAGTGGATGAGCGTCTTAATGAGGCATAAGTTTAATTGAACAGCCATGAATCTTTTAAGGCTTTAATGACTAGGCTCTTTTGTTCAATAACTATCCTGGCTAAATACAGGGTTCAGCCAGTACTTTGTAGTCTGACTGATTGTTTTGTAGCACTTCTGTTCAATACACTCTTCTCTCATTATGGTTAATGCTTTAGCAACTCTTTCCAATGGTCATTCGTTAATATGTTTGTAGAAGTCAATTTCCTGATATTTACTTCTTTCTGATCTTGGGAAAAGATATCTCACTCACAGCGAGACGAAGTTGGGTACAAAAAAAGTTGAGAGAAGTGGAAAAAACAAGTCACAGAAATAAATTTTGTAGTTCTTAACAGTATGATAGAATAAATCCAAAATGGTAACTGAGCTCATCCTTGCCTCCTATTTACTACAATTTGTGAATTTTGATTTGCTGCTAATCAGCCCTACAACTTTTCCTTTTAATCATATAATTTTATTTGTGAATGCATCTGAAATTATGAGATGAAGGCAGAGTCACTTGTTTGGAGGAATACATCAACATGAGAAGACACTTCCTATTTCTTTTTCTACGTTAGTCTGACATCCTTTTTCTTAATTTTTTCAGACTTGGACTTTCTGTTTCACATGTTTTTCCTAGCTCGGTACTGCAAGCTTCTAGAAGAGAACTCCTTCAGGGGAAGGACGGCAGATTTCTTCTACATGCTCTTGTTTGGTGCCACTGTTTTAACAGGAATTGTTCTTGTCGGGGGGATGATACCTTATGTCTCAGAGTCATTTGCAAGGATCATATTCCTGAGCAATTCATTGACTTTTATGATGGTTAGCTCCTCTGCAGTATAACTCCATTTTTGACTCGGCTTTGTTTTATGTCTTAGTCTTTCTTTTTTCATCGTTCTGCTTCCTTCTATGTGTAGGTTTATGTATGGAGCAAGCAAAATCCATTTATCCACATGAGCTTTTTGGGTCTGTTTACTTTCACCGCAGCTTACCTCCCATGGGTTAGTGTTTATTACTTAATCCATCATACTTTGCTTCACAAATCTTTAGCTTTTAAATTTAATAGCTGCCTCACCTGTGGTTTGTCCCCTTGCATCTTTGTGTTTCTTCTGCTAGATATGAAATTATCAATTTGCCATTTCTTTAATGAATCCTGAAGTAGCAGGTGTTTTATGACACTTGCTCCTGGTGTTTCCATACTAGAGCTGAGCTGCTAAAGCCACTCTAAAAGTATATGCTGCGACCAGACACATTGCAGAAACCACTTGGTTCCTTTTTTTCGTTCGATTTTTTCAGAAAGAGCAGTACTTCAAAGCTCATGCCTTGTGTATTTGGTTTTCCTTATTTATATGTTTTAAGGAAGATTTGGTTTAGTGCATTTTACAGATGAAAATGCACATATAATAAACAAGGAAAATCTCTTGGGCCAATTTGACTTGGCTTAAATAAAGTGCTTTTTAAAAGTATTTTTCAAAAAGTCATACTTCATAATTTTTAAGTTAAAAAATGAAAGTAGTATCCAACTTTTAAGCCAAGTCAGAACACCCTCTTGTACTCTCTGTGGTACAGAGGACTTGTGTTGAAATGGTCTACTTATGCTAGCATGGTCAATGATGCTTTTGACGTGAGTTGCTTGGAAATAGAACTCTGGTCAAAATCTGCCAGATATCTTTTCTGCTTTATTGTGGGTTCCATGACCGCAGCTGGTTTGGATTTGACTATGCCTCTCACAATAAGACAGTGGGCTTAAAACATGGCAAGTAACTTTGTTAAACAAATAATGTTTGATAGCAGACAATTAATTTGAAAAAATGGTAAATTTATAAAGAGTACTGGTTTAAGTCTTCAAAGAAAATAATATTACCTTCTAAAAAAAAACCTCTTCAAAGAAAATATGTAGGGGAAAGGAATTCGTACATGTGTGTGTTGTAAATTGAGAGGTTAAATGACCACCCAGGGGAGTAGCTACACTATACCGAGGGTGGTTAGCTGGACATACATCGTCGGAAAATTTTATCGGACATATAGGTGAAATTTTGTAATTTAGGTTATATATAACACAATGTACACCCTTCGAACAATTGTGTTCCACGACTCAGTGGTGAAGGATGCCCAGTGTGTGTCAGGCACTGCGGGTTCGAATCTTCGATGAAGCAGTGGATAGGCTCTCTTTTTTACTATTAAAAACAAAGCTGTTTGACAAGCACTGGATTTGCCTTTATTACTTTCTATTCTTTCTAAAAGATAAGGATATATTATTGAAAAGTATATTTCTAAACAAACCCTTCTTTCTAAATATTTATCTTAATATATATTTTGCAAAGAAGTAAATAGAAAGATTTTACTTATATTATTTTGAAAATTTCAAATTACACCTGATACAATGTAAACATTTAATCTTATGATTATCCTTTTTTCCTACACCCATATATCAAATGTTGAGATATAGAATATACCAATCTTTTTTGAAGGTCAAAATTTTAGTAATTAAGATTACACCAATTGAAGTCAGAAAAGAAAAAAGTAAGAAAATTATTTACATAGGTAATTTAATTATTTATATAAATAAATATGTACTAAGTCTCCGATACATGTATATTTATAAGTGGAAGTTTTCTTTAATTGTTTTTTTGTAGGAACATTTGATAATGAAATATGCAGTTCAATCTAAATTTTGAATATAACAAAACCGTTTATATTTGTGATTTCAATAATATATTACTATTTTTATATGTATATATCTGTAAGTGCCTGAAAAAATTTACTTAAGTATTATTTTTAAATTTATCGATGTTTTTCACATCACATGAAGAGCAAATAATTTTAGTAGTTTTATTTAAAATAAACTACAGTTGACTTTTGTTTAGAATTTTGTCCTCTTCACTTGTCGGACACCACTAATGGTTCTTGGTTATTCTCTTTTGTTATTTTCTAACCTTGTTGTTTCACTGATTCCGGTGATTTTCTTTACTGGGAATTTTAAAGATATTTTCTTTTCTTAACTAAAATTTTCCGTGACAACACATTACAAATGTAGCATTTGGATATGCTCCGAGAACAAACTACGAAGAAAAATGGCAAACTAATATTATGTAGTTTGTTTTAATTGGTGCATCCATTCATTGAGGTGATTTTACTATATAAGTTTGAACACCCTTAATCAAATTCCTAGCTCCACCGTGGAAACCACCTACCGGAAGGTAGTCGAATTCATGTTTACCCATCATTTATGAACAACCCTTACTAGTTGTGGCTTTTTACTCATCTAAGTACCTATCTCTAACTTTTGATACATAGGGGGGATGAGTTAAAATACTTGGGATTAGCCTTTACAGGTATTAGTATGAAGTTGACAAATCAGCGATCATAGACTCTGTTTAAAGAAGACTTCATTGGTTCTTTTTCCAAAAAAGAAAAAAGACTTCATTGGTTATGCTTGGGCAAGACATCTTGTAGTTGCTATATATGAGCTATCAAACCTGAAGGGCTACAGCAGATCCATTACTCAAGTATTGTTCCTGTTCATTCCTATTCACTGGGTTGGGGTTTTGGGGTTGGAAGAGCATCAGCTGGGTCCAGGAAAGCTTTTCCTGTGCGCCAGGTTTCTTATTCATTTTGTTTTGGATCTATGCAATCGTAGGTGGTGTTTTGCATTCAAGATAATGAACCTTGCAGTATGTTGATTTTGAAAATCACTCCCTTCTTTATTATGTGAACAAGGGGTTATTTGCAGAGCCATGCTTTTATGTAGTCCCTTATGTTTCCAGTTTTTAGGATCTATTTTGGCTAGAAACCCTTTCTGTAACACAGTTATGGAGTTCTTCACCAACATAGTCTTGGCAAGAAAGACACAGTGAGAAATCCAAAAACTTATTTGCCCCTTACATATTGCTGAGCCAATAGCTGTTCCAAGCACCCGGATATTTGGCAGTGATGTTCTTTTTGGGAGAACTACTAAAAGAACATTGAATATAAATAGAAACACATTCTTGAATTAGAATAGAATTAGGAAACCAGGAAATTAATATTTACACGGGTCACAATGTTTTTCATATTTTATTTCTTGAAGTGGAAAACTACTTGTAGTTTTGCTTCTATGAATTTTGTTGTTTATGTTTGTGGTGGATATTAACATCATCACACTTCTTTCTCCTTGTCGCAGGTTCTTTTGGGCTTCTCTGTGCTAGTTGGCGCCAGTGCTTGGGTGGATCTACTGGTACGCTTCTGGTGACTCATGTGCTTTTATTAGGTTTTACTTGTTTCATGCTACTATATGAGACTCTTAAGAGTTTGAGTTAAATGGTTTTTGCTCCTGCTTGAGCCTCCCTGTTGGATATCTTGAAGAGTTGAATCTTTGATAAAAGTTCTGGTAGCCTGGATGTTCTTACTTTTTTTCATTTAGTGAGAGAGATTCATCACTTTTCTGCTTTCCCCAACTACAAAGATGTGTCGATGCCTTCACCAACCAGCCATATTTATGTTTTCTACTGAGGATTTTGTCCAAGGTGATAAACCCCCAAAACTGGATGCTGATCTGTAGTATAGTGGTAAAAAAGTTCTTGTTTGTCAAAGAAGATATGGACTCTTGCACATCTATCGTTCACTAGTTTCTTTCTGTTACAATGTATTGTTATGCTTTTCTGTGTAGACCTTTCTACCTGCACTGGTGCCTGTTGTTTTTATGCCATCACTCAGTTACCTTGCATTTTAAACTTCCTTTAGTGGGGTTTGAATATTCCAGTTTCCTTTCGTTGAACTTTATGTGTGCATTTGTTACGAAGGAAAATGTTTTTTTTTGAAGATTTTTTTCTTGTACAATGTTTTCCTAAAAAATAAGATAAGTGAATTTTTACTTATTTTCTGGTGTTTGATGAGTAAGCAGAAAATATTTTGTAAAATCTAGACAAACACTCTAGGGGTGGGTTAGAAGGTAGAAGTGTGGGGGATGGGGATGACGTTGGAAGTAGTGTGTGTTGGAGGGTGGGGATGAAACGATTATGTGGAATGCCACTTATGGAACTTGTTTTCCCGACTTGTACTAGGGAAGTCATTTTCCTCATTTTCAAGGGAACTTATAATTTCTAGAGATAATACTTTTCAAAAATTTCGACAATCTTAATATATTTTCATGAAAATGTTTTCCTCCTACCAAACTCACCGCACCCTATAACATGCAGGGTTGGTGCTATATACTGAAAGTGAACTTTCATGTTTCAGGGAATGATTGCAGGCCATGCTTATTATTTCCTAGAAGACGTCTATCCGCGAATGACTGGTCGTAGACCCCTGAAAACTCCAGCAGTTATCAAAGCATTGTTTGCTGATGAGCCGGTAGTGGTGGCTCGCCCTGCTAATGTTCGCTTCGCTGCTCCTCCTGTTGATGAAGTTCCACCAAATCAATGAGAGAATTTTATAAGTAAACCAGTGGCTCTGTCTTCAGTTTCTGTAAATTGACCGTAGATATTTGGTTGGAGGAAATCAGGGTTGGTGTTGTTGATGATGATTGTGCTAGTTATTAATGCTTTTTGTAATTTAGATCTGGAACTGGAGAAGTGCTGTCTGGTAGAGAAAATTCGCCTATATGAAGTGTTTTTTCTCTGTTAAAAGTCTTAGAATTCAATTGATTGGTGTTGTGTCTCCTTCCCTTAGAAGCCAATGGCCGATTTTTGGTATTAGAGGTGCGTGCATTATTGAGACTCGAACAAAAACTGGTTGATGAACTCCAGTTTTGGAGTATGTCATGCGTCAACTTAGGGAAACCAGATTTTAAAGGACAAAACCTATCTCATCAATGTAGGTTGTATACATGCAGTCCAGAACATATAACAAAAACTGGTTGAACTGAAATTTTGAATCCAGTTTTGGGGGTATGGCATGCATCAACTTAGGGGGAACCAGATTTTAAAGGACAAAGAAAACCTATCTCATCTATGTAGGTTGTATACATGAAGTCCAGTACATATATATATATATATATATATTTTGCTGTGGTTTCCGGTTATTGTAAACTAGCTGTACCCACCGGGTCCTGCTGTTTAAGGCAGGAACTCCTGTACATATACGTGTGCGCATTGGCGTTTAATGAGGATTGTTGTGTAACCTCAATTATATACATAAAAATAAAGCTGTTAAAGAACAATGCATGCAGCAAAAATGTTTCGGAGAACTGCAAAATGAATGTTTTCTATCATCAGTTCACCATATTTTGTATGACGAATCAGTTTTGCACCCAAAGTTGTGTAATTGTTGCCGTTAATTGGAAATAACTCCGTGCCCCAAGGGCTTCGAGTGAGTAGTACAAGCAGCATCGTGTGATATGTTGATTAGCGAGTAAACCTGTTACCGACCCGGATTTTGAACCATCTGTAACTGAATCTTTAGAATTCCTCGGTTCTAAGAGTAAAATTACTAGAACAAACTGACCAAACAAAGGACATCAGTCATTGCAGTAAAGGAGATCCAGAACATCATAGTTACAACATGCCAGTACAATGGCGATACTGAGATTTACCCTCTGCGTCATTACATCATGACTAGGATTTTTCACAGACGTGGGGAACACTTATTTGTCTCATGCTTCACACTAAAACCACAGAAACAATATAATGTAAGCAAAACAGCTTAACCTCTGTTTTAACAACTGCCAAAAAAGCGTTGAATCTTTGCCTTTCCGCAGAATTATTGCAACCGAATATCCTTTTGCAGTTTCACTTTTCCTGAACAACTCCAGTTAGCTTCTGCAACAGAAACCATGGGAACGTGTATCACTAACGATAAAATTCTGCTGCAGCTAACTGATTGGGTGGTATTGTGCAGACACTCTTTTTGGAGGCAGTTTTCGCAGGATGTACAGCACAAGAGCTGAAGGAAGAATTTCTACCAGCTGCCACAGAGAAGAATGTGATCACTCAGACAAAGCAGTAAGCGCAAGGAACATGAAATAACGAAAATGATACATACCAGGTAGTATATCAGATTCAAAACAGGATGATCCAAGACGTCAAGAGATGCGTCAGAATCAAAAGCAGATAACACAACCTGCAGCGAACCAAGATTAGACATAGAAAACAAGCTCATGTGCATGAGAGTTAGAGATTTGAGGCCGGTTTAGCTTTACTTTAAACCTATGCTTTCTCTTTTTTTGATCATGTTCCTATTCTCTAGTCTACCTTTTCCTATTATTTGTTCCCAGGAGTAGTTATGGTTTGACTGAAGCCTGAAGGAAGGCATAGGTTGCAACCCTTTATTTCATAAAGATAGCCTCAATGTTTTCACCTCTTACAAACTAAAGCACCGATTGTGTAAAACCTCATTTCCCTGCTTGGACCTCCCCGTAGACAAGCTAAGAGTGTCTCATTTGGTTAACCAGTTTGCAAAGCTTAATAATGGAGCTAGGACACTGTTATACTTTGGATGATAAAAGGTTGACCAGCATAGGGAGAAAGAAACAGGTACATAAAGCCTTACCACAAAGCATCTAATGAGGAAACAGGTGAAACATATGGCAGTCACCGATCCAACCTGTGTTCACATACATACATTAGATCAGATGATTTACAGTAAGAGATGTTAAGAATTATAAGCCATGACCTATCATGCATGCATATGCCTAGAAACAATTCATTAGAACTTCAGATAACACAAACATATTCACAGCAGCATCATTTAATGGTTGGTGATGTAGAAGACGATGTTAGAACAATCAGATAGACCAATAAATCATTTTCTTGAGTTGGTCACTAATGATCATTGAAGAACAAAAGAACTCCTTAGGTTCACAAATAATGATAAAAAAGATTCTTTCTTCAGAAACATCATATGTTAATATTGAGTTTCCATCTAGTCAGACTAATCTAAGATATTTTTTTTCCTGTTTATTCATCAACAGAGAAGAAAAGGAAATCAGCCAAGAGTAGTTTGTTTTCAGTCAATGCTTATGAAGAGTCTAGCAAGTATTCTAACTTATGAGCAAACAACTGGGGACTAGTAGTGAAGAGCTTCAGACTATTTATTGTCTTTTAAGTTCAAATGGCCATGGAAAACAAAGAGAAGATGTGGAAGGGATGATCAAAGATTAATATGGAATTGATGGACAATGATGCAGTAAAGCAGTCACATCTTATGGAGTTGTATTAGGAAGATGAATCGGAAATCCATGGGGAGAGTTTGCAGAGATGGAAAGGTCAAAGTGGATAACAGCAGAAGAACAAACTATGGCAAGACAAATGACTGGAAACCAGAACTCTGAAATAACTCTTCCCAAGTTAATATAATCTTGTCATCAACAAAGAGTGTTCGACGTACCATTGGAGAACCCTCCAAAGGAGAATGCTGGAATCTCCAATGTAGAATAAATCATCAATTTTTTTCTTAAAAAAATCATCAACACTAGGTACAGTCTGTGTGTGCTAGTTGTTAAATTAGGGGGAGTGATGGAAATGGATCATTGGATGATGCGAACTTCTCACCTAAAGCATGATACAGTTAGTTGTTAAGGAAGAATGTGGTAATATTGGCTCTAATAGTCATGGAAGATGACTTGGAGGACCAGAGCTACTCCCAAAGTGGCTGTTTTTTGGGTATTAGCCTTGAATGAAACATAGTAACATATGATAGCCAGCACAGAGGAAGATTTCACTTCTCCAGCAGATACTACTACTGCAAAGAGGGCTTTAAATCATTTGGACAGTTACTCCTACGTTGCAAATTCATATGGATAACTTGGTGTATATTTCTAAACCGGTTTGGGATTGTTTGGATGATGCCTGGTAGAGGCAGTACAAAGATGACAATGCAGGGAATAAAGAAGAAACAGAGGACCTTATTAAAAAATATACAGAGGAACTTACAGAATCTCTCTATGTTATTTCAGATGGTTAATATAGAAAGGGAACTGCAGCTGCTTTCAGGATAAAGCATCTTCCTTAATTTTTTGTAATATTGAAATGCTTACAGAACATGAATTTTTGAAGCAGGATGCTGCTAGTGATTTTGACCATATAGTGGAGTTAATTGACTCCTTATATTGTTAAAGGAATAAATTTCTAGCTACTATCGGGCACTCTTACACCTTGTTGGTGCTGCAGATGGTTTAATAAAATCTTACTTAATCATCAAAAAAGAGGAATCTAGAGAAGGGAGACATCAACAGTTGGTACCCTAATGTTGTATGTTATAATTTGTTACATTCCTGCTCATTTTGTTAGGCAATCTTTATTACTTGACATCTTCTGTCTATGTATATCCAAACAACTTTGAACAGTCCCATCAGATAGCAGCTACAGAAATTAATAATTTGCTGGAGTTGAGCTTATGGTGTAAGTCAAACAAATTATGTGACACAAACTAAATAGAAAAAGATAGTATGCACCAGCCTTTGACAGTTTAGTGGATCCATGACCAAAAGGTTACCCCTTCACGCACTGAATAAAAATGTCTGAATAAGAATGTCATAACAAGGTTCCATCTGTTCTTGTTAATTATCATTTTAGAATTAAATTATACAATCTCAGAGATAGCCTTACTCTTATCTCTCCACTTAAATGTTATCTGGACTAAATATAGCAGTCATTCACCACAAGTTAAGATTATAATATAGCAGAACAATTAGCAGGACTTCTTAGGACAAGGAAATTAATCAAACTTCATGTTTAAAAAGTTTCTCCCTCTCGGTGCTGTAGGGAGAACTTAAGTTTGTGAGGAATACATCTTATGCCTTACATGCAAACGTATTCTATGCCAAACTACAGCACTAACCTCTGTATACATAAAGTAAGAAGATAAAAGTGTAAAAATCTTTACCAGTTAAAAGAAAAGAAAAAAAGAAAAAGAAAGAGGAAGACAGATGTATAGTACACAAACCTCATGAAGCTTCTTTCTCCTCCCTTTAGATTCAATAGGGAAGCGCCGCAGCATGAGAAATAACCTGATGATTGTAAAAACAAATTCCACAAGAAAAACAATGAAATTTAATCATGTCTAAGGTCATCTAAGAATCATCAATAATGCTTTAGAAGATAAATGCACAGAGAAAATTAGAACTTAAATTCACCTTCCACCATATAGCAGAAAGCCCAAGGCTGCAATAACTGATACAACTGCACCAAATAAACATGCAAGGTTAAAGAAAGCAATAAACTTTGAAAGCAGATCTAACCTTCAGTAAAATAGGGCAAAAGGAGAAAATTGATATATAAGAGATTCACCTGCCATAAATATCTTCCCAATGAATTCCACTGTGCTATTGTCATTGATCCAGAGGTAAACCCAGATACAGGCCTGACAAAAACGATTTTTCAGTTGTATTTAGTTTATTACCTGAGATAAAACCAGGAAGACTGAAGAAGATTCTTAGCTTTTGAGACAAGCGGGTCGATAGGAAATGTTCACCAAGAAATCAAGAACAATGGACATCTTTATTTATTTAGAAATGCTCTATCCTTTAGGAAAGGGAAGAGATAGGGTTCTCAGGGGATGGGGATTAGGAGAATCTAGCCCTATTTCAAGGCTAAATTTGCATATGGTTCTGTAAAAATTTATTGCAAGATCTTGGAAAGATATTCCATCGGTTCTCGAAAAAATAATTAAAGGTATAACCGGAACCAAGCTATGAATATTTGATAATGGAAGTAGATGGAGAGCTCCGAATTAAACTTTTCTCCTAGCATGTTACCCCAGGTTAACCCGGCATAACATTTTGAGAAAGAAGAATATCTCAGAATTCCACATATTGAGAAGCACACATATGCCCACAGATCAATGAGGCGGCTCCAGGATTCGAACTTTATGTGTCTCAGAAATTCTACCACAACCCGATTGATTTAGTGGGTTCAAAATCTATTATGTTTACTTGTTTACAAAATTTTTAACATATATACAGGGTTTGAGCTAATGTTGGGTTCCAGGAACCCTTTTTCAGTTGAACCCATAACTTCTACACTAATCCACCCCTGTCACCACCAAAATACAAGGGGTTATCAAATAGAACCCAAAAGTAGATGGGTTTGACTGGCGTAAAAGAATCTTAAAGGAATTCACATATTACTAGAGACAAAATAAAAATAAGTAATAATACTTGATCGATTATATTTCCATATGAACAACCATGATGTCCAATAGCGTATGAGCAGGGGATACATTTGTAGCAAACCTGAATGAAGTATATGGCATCATTAATGGCAATATAAGAAATCCTGAGCTTATCTGTTGGTAAACTCCTAGCCTGCCATTACATAAATGCAAGGGTTAGAATCAATAGATTTACAGTTTGCCTGCAAGATGCTATAACTTCACTTGCCTGGTGATATATCTCAGCCCAAAATAGAACAAGGAGTGTGAATGTTGAAAAGAAAAGGAGCCCTGGTAGGTCCAATATTGCCAGAGTCAGCACCTGGTTATCGTGAAGCAAATCTAACATCAGTTAACAATTAGGCAGCAGTTTAAGAGGCAGTTGTGGCATGTTATTATTTCTACTTCTCACGTCATCGGCCTAAAAGTGACGGTCCATCAGTAGCCCACCCAAATGAAGGAAAGAGATCACGGAAGTCGTAAAGGGGAGGTGCTTTCAGTAGATTCGTTATTGCTAACAGAAAATTCATCTCAATAAAATGATAGTCAAAGCTAAAGGATTGACATGGTAACACTACGGTGTTGCTGGCTGCAGAGGAACTAAGCACTTGAACAATGTCATCGGCCCATCACAGTCAAACCAAAATTTTAGGGCAAGTAAAAGATGAGTAACTAGGTGATAAGCTTCAAACTGGAATCTGAAAGACAGAATGTATATACTAATGTGCTTTCAATCCAATTAGCTCACACATTAACAAACAAGGATTGCTGAACTGCTATTGGATTGTACTAGCTGTAAGAGAGCAGGATGACCTTCCGAATAAATAAATTAGAAGGTAAGGAATCTAAAATGTCAAATTAAGCTCAAAGTTAAGAGTGTCAAAGATATAAGAAAGCCTACAGCTCCAATCAGCAAAAGTAACATCATGCACTTGACTTGAAAATGGTCCCATCAGGTGATAAATTTTCTAGGTACAGTTCTGACCTAATTTTGATTTTTGATAGTTCCTATGTAAGTTGACGCACTATAAGAAAAGAACAATAATTAGAGAAAAAGTTAAATGGCTGATAAGAACAAAGGCAATATATTCAGGTTTGCATATATTGTCGCGTTCTATTGAAAACAAACTGAACATAATTAAGAAAAAATATTGACAATTGAAAAGTTACTTTTAAGAAAGAATATTACCTTATAATGGAGCAGAAAAACATGTTTGTGAAATCCAAAGACAATTGCACGAACTGAAAAACAAAAGATTTGCATTTAAAACAAAATTCCAGATTAAGAAAAAGAGCTGGACGGTTTGTTTAGTCTGAGTCCGCTTTACCTCCATTTACAACAAAGTTCATCAGATGGAACACCTTTTGTGTTGTCCAGCCATACTCGGGTACCCTCAAATCAATTCGTATTAATTGAATCTGCACATAGTTAACTCATAGACTCAACCAAAAGTCCTGCCAACTAAGCAAGCACCACGAGGAAAACAGTTCTCTACACATGCAGTATTAGGTAAATACTGTATCTGAAACACATATTAATCAAAGTATGAAAAAACACCCTTCAATGAAACTTATCTACTTATTGGAAAAGGTCATAAGCTTCACAAGCACACACAAAAGGAGTACTCCCAAATACTAACCATCTAACCGAACCTACCAGAAGTATGATTAACCAGTCAGTCCACTGCTCCAAACTTTTATTAGCGACATAAAAAAGCACAAAATATACCGTAATTTGTCTTAATGGAAACCCCTAAATTGCACTTGGTAATCAAACATTCTCGTCTGATTCCCTACTCCATTATTTCATTCCTACAGTTGACCAACCAAGATTTTCCATTTCTAACAGAAGTTACGAAAAAAAAAACAACTAACAGCAAGTACTTGACTTTATACATGAACTAGACACTGCAATTCTATCAACTGCATCTCAACATCAAATTAGTAGGAGTTGAAAATATAAATCATCTAACATCAATTCCGGCATTTCAGCTCCCAAACTCTACTTTGATCGTGAAATTCACAAAAAGGAAAGAAAAAACCAATCTTTACATATCTACAGAGCAGAAAAAGAGAATGGAAGAGAAAGAGAAACTTACTAGGGCAACTGCTGAAACAAGACCATAGGAAGCACAAAGGGAGTAGAAAATCCCATCTTGCCACTGAACGGATTCGTTGACGTGGTCCCACCAGTTGGTCACCGGACCGGCGATGTCAATCGGCGACGACCCAAGTGGCAACCTAGCCATTTCAGCTCTCCCCTCCGCTTATCTTGTTGTATTGAAAGAAGTCAAAAAACTGATGCTATAAAAGAAAGAACAAAGTAAGGAACGTGCTAAGGTGCCATACCATATGAAAACAGCGCCATCAAATCATAAACTCTTACCTTCCTAATACAAACAATTAAGATAACTGTAAGTATTCAAGTTCATTAGCAGATTCATATAGTTATTGGTCATTTCGTTTTATATTTTTTTAAACTATGGTATAAAATCTCGTGTGTCTTTTATGAAAAATATTAAAAGTGTTTTAATATTAGAAGTCTGTAATATAGTGGGTTGATTTTTTTAGATCTCCCTTTGCTTTAGAGGGAGAATAACCAATAGATTCAATTTGAATTTATCTACAATTTGATTGCTAAAGAAAAATGTTAGTCCCTTGCACGAACTAAAATAGCAGGATTTTATTTCTGAATTTAGATTTTGTAACAAAAAGAATCATTCAATTTATCTAAAAATTAAAAAAAAGACCCCGATCAAGTTTGGTAACAAAAAAATCTTTTACTTAAAATTAGTTTTTAACGACACTAATAATACTCAATTAAAAGTTGTGATATAAAATAATAATAGTTTAGTAGTAATTTGAATGTAAATAAAACAAAAACTAAAGGAGGATCATGTACGAATTTAACGCGGATATTCTATGGTTGTAAGGAGTAAGGCGGCATGGCCGAAAAGCCAAATACAAATTCCAAGTCGACAAATACATACCGCCGTGTACCCAATTTTCATCGCCAAACTTGAGTTGTTATTTTATTGGAAAAAATGGACATATATCAGTGTCTGGACTTTTGACAAAATCATGGACTATGGATTAAGGAGAGTTGAAATTTATATTGTTGACTTTATTTATGAAAAAATAAATAAAACTCCTCTTTGATAAGACCCATAAGTATATTTGAATGAGCTGGACGTAATTATATTAATAACATTCATATTTCAAGCTTTCACTTGTCGCCAAAGAAAGCCTAGTGTGACACTGAAATTTAGGATTGAAAAATGTTAATGAATTGGTGACACAAGTTGTTTTCCATTAATGTGTGTTTTGAACGGAACTAGATGTTGAACGGAACTACATGTTGAAACCAATTTCACACTTTCATAACTTTTAAATTGATTAAAACCAACTTTATTTACTTCCCAGTAAATTAATGTTTAGTCAAATGGATTCATAAGTCGCTTCGCAAGCTGAAATAATTGTACTGGATTGGTGGGGTGCGCCAGGCCCTTGCTATAGTGCAACGCATGGGCGACGCTTGAGAGTCCAGGTAGCAAGCTACCTTGATGAACTCTCCCCCTTAAAAAATTGAGTTAATATCGTGTGAACCAATGGTCCACATATCAGATATTAAACTGATAAGAACAGATACTACACTTGATCTTAGCCAAAAGGCCGAGAAAGGTATGACTTTTCCTGAGGCCCGTTTGGCTTTTTATTGCGTACGGATTCCTTGTTGCTTAGTCTGTTTGGCGATGTGGGACTGCTGGACAAACAGATACCATTTGCGAGAACTATGTATTATACGAGAAATTTGCAGCGAAGGACCAAGAAAATCAAATGTGCTCTTTTTACATGCAACTTAATATGTGGTGTTTTTCTCCCTAGGAAGCTGTTCAAAATTATGGAATTTTCAATATATTCTTCATAGTATTTGTCAGTACAGTGTTTATTATCATCGAAGGTTGTGGTGAGATGGATAAGATTCCTTCACCTTTAACTAAATATCTGGGTTTTGAGCCTTGAACATGAAAAAGAATTTTGTTTTGGAGCGCCCATCCACTTGGTGAGTTTTATCCAAATTAATCAAACTTCAATGCTTTAAAAAAGTACATGGTGATTCCTTGTTTTTGATAGTGAAAATTGGTACAAAATCGTTGAATGGAACTATATCTTGTCCTTGATCCTTATTTTTTTAATTGATCCCAACAAATGTGTTACTAATTCTCTTTATCAATTAGCAGGCCCAGCAAACAGAAGACAACTTCTGAATATGTACTTAGATATGGGAGGGTGAAGTAAGAATTAAGCATCATCATTTGCCATAAGTCCATAGTTAACATAGCTTGAACTAATATAACAAAAGTTCAGATGATATGTAACAAATAGTGTAGAACAGTCAATGTAGTTTAACGCGTGACCAAACATTCCTTTTCTTTCCGTTCTTATACTACACCTAAGATGTTCGTAGAGTTAGTGACTTCAGAATGAGTATGGTGTTATATATATCCATGTTTCTTACAGTTACATGGTTCAAGTGGATTCAGTAGAAACAGAGCTAAGGTTGTTGCAGACTATGGGTTCTGTAATTTTTCAGTTAATAATATGAACATACATGTGGCCTCAAAGTGTCTGTTTTTTCACAATTGCATATGCTAGTGATATATGCATAAACATTAGAAAGGATGAATAAATAACATGAACAATTACCATGACATGGAAGATGGAATCTGTAAAACTACAAGAACAATCTCCTTGCTGCAGGCTAAAACATTAAACATGAACATGAACATGTTTACCTCATGTACAAACATCAAATATGACTCTCAAGTCTCAACTATACTCAAGTTCCACTATTTGATAAAGTGGAAAACTGCAATTTCTTTAAATGACGATAACCTAGAGTTTTTCGGTCTTTTAATCTGCACATAACATGTTTTATGTTTCATATCTTGCTCACTTTTGACAGGAAATCAAAATACTTAAGCCTAGCAATGAAGACAACTCTCCCTAAGTACCTATGAACAACACAGTCCAATGATGAAACTTAAATCATATTCTATACGTACTCGTCATCTATAGTTTATACATGTAACTTTTCAGGCCTAACTGGCAAAGGTATTACCTGCTCTTGCTAAAACAAGAAGTCCAGATGATAGACAATTCTCTCAAATTCCAAGCAATTGAAGGCAAACAGAAAGCACAAGATATTTGGCTAAAGAATATGAACAGAATTCAGACTTGACACGAAAAATTGAAAGCTCCTATGAGAGCATTATCTCTTCCTCAAATCTCTTAGAATCAACCTTGAGATTTCTATAGCTGAAACCTGGAATTTCATTCATCTTACAACTCTCAGAAACTTCAACCATAGAACACATTGCAGGTAATCCACCTCCAGTACCTCTTCTCTTCTTCTTTTTCCATTTCATCATCAAGAACCCGAAACTAGGCCAAGAATTACCACCACATGAATCTATTTCCACTGAGTTCTTCTGAGATTTATTATTAGAACTCCCTTTACAAGAATCCACCTCAACTTTTCTGAAATACTCAATCTCTTTCTTCAAAAGTGATCCTATAGTTCCCCTTGTGCCTACTTCAACCGGTACACTTGTACTCATTTTATCAGAGAACCTACTAGTAATACTCCTAGCTCTGTATAACATTATTTTTGTTTGCGAAAAAAAGAAGGAAGAAATTCAGAGATTGTTGGAAGGCTTGTTTGTGAAGAATGAATTGGTTGGTATTTTTAACTTTGCATTAAGGAAGCAACTACTTGTCTATAGTGCTAATGCCTAATGATAGTGTTTAATAGACATATGCTTTTTCTTTTCTTCTTTTTTTTGTTGTTGAAAGTGGACAGCGTGAGGCTCTGCATAATTGTAGCAGTGGATGGATGGGAGATGTAATCATCAACAAAACTTGCAACCAAAGCATACGCCTAATATAAATTACTATTTTACCTTTTTCTGTCTCTGACTTATTGGTTACAAGTTAGTCATCATGATCAACCTCAAGAAATAAAATTTAATTTTTTTGCTATTATATTAATGCTAAATATTAACTTAATCATGTCTATGACAGCAGAGGCTGGGGTCCTTGGCAATCAATGTCCAGGCCTTTATTTTTTAACCCTTGCTTTGCAAATAATCATAGGTTAATTTGGAAAAGGTTATCATGTTTACGCCGCCCCATTGATTTAAAATAACCTTATAGTTATCCATGGTTATTTGATTGATGTACTTATACAACCTAATCATGCACTTAAAAATAAAAATGACGTAAGCACTAATCCTAGTTTGTTTAAAGCGACGTTTACCGAAGATTGCAATATTTACTAAGTTAAAGAAACCATTACCAAGCAAGTACTCTCGTTGGACAAATAAGAAGAGATCACCAAGACTTTCACCCACTTCATAGATCGGTCAGCCTCACATTTGTGAGTTGTGACTCTATTTTCATATATATATCGATGAGTTCAACGTCAACCCAACTAGTAGTTTTTTGTGTAACAGACACTAACATCTCATGGATTCCTGTTCACACATTGCAAGTTGCACGGAGAGCACTTGAGCACACCAGATTGTGATAGCATGTTTGAAATTGTGTCAACATCCAGCAGTGTACAAGTAGAACAACAAAGAAATGTACCTGCTTTTCACAAAAGAGTAACCTTTAAGAAAAATGATCAAACATTCATCAAAGACAGAACACAAACAATCAGTTAAAAGCCTCAAAATTATTACTCATTTCTACTATTTCTCTCTCCATGTTTTCTTCCTTCTGCAATCCTTTTCCATTGCATATACAAGTGCAGTTCTTCTTTACAACACAAGACCATGCAAATGCTTTGATAAGCAACATCATGCAGTCAGCATAAGCATTAACAAACTCGCGCTTCCCTTGGGACTATCATGGTCAGAGATAACCACCTAACTACGGTATGCTGGGAAGATGGCATGAATATCTTCGAGCATGTTGTAATGCATCATCTATTCTCGAACCAATTTGATAACGAGACTCATAAAACTGACATATGAACTGGGATAACTCCCCTTGATCATCATATTCATCCCAAAAGAACTGAGAGTGTCCTTCACTTTTCTCTGGTAAACTATCTTCCCAAGCACTGGCTGGACTCTAGAAGGTTCAGTGTCGTCATCTTCTATTTCTTTTTCGCCAATTACAAACTTTCCATTATTGAAAGAGTTAAAATCACCCGACTCTTGAAATGTAAACAACCGCGCTTCATCGGGCTCAATGGAAGGACATGCAACAGCTTTAGCTCCTGAATCTAGAAAAACCTTGACTACAAATTGGGTAGGGCCAGTGAAGATTATAATTCTCCCCCTCCATGCTACAATCTGGAAGGTTTAACAAATACTGGAGGAGTTAGTGCTGCCTCCTTTCTTATTCATCTTATATTTTCTGGGATAAATGTGTATGCATAGAACAATAGGTCACAAGCACATCTCCTGGTGAGATGACTCGAAATGAATCAACATTCTCACCTAAAAATAAATAAAAATAATAATTAAGTGGATCAAAATTGATGGTCAACGGGTACGTTAAAATACGTGATACATTGCTCCTATATGAACCACTTTTGTGAGGTGGACAACCATCTTGTGCACTCACTTCTATTATAGAGAGAAATGTTTCTGATCATTTATCCTTCGCAGGTCCACCTTCAGTCTCAATATGAACTTGTTGACAAACTATAAGCAGGAATCTTGGCAAGTTTTCGCTCCTTCAAGATTGCTCTCATCCTCCTTACCTCTTCCCACATGTCATTACTGGCATAAATGTTGGACAATACAACATACACTCCATCGTTCCACGGTTCCAACTGTTGCAGGTGCTTAGCCACCCATTCTCCCATTTTCACATGCCCATGCTTCTCACAAGCCCCCATTAGGCACCCCCAGATCACAACATTCGGTTTCATCGACATCCCTTCAATCGTCCCCCTTGCCTCCTCGAACAACCCAGCCCTGCCAAGCAAATCCACCATGCACCCGTAATGCTGCAACATGGGTGCAATACCATATTCATTCTTCATCATGTTGAAATAATACTTTCCTTCTTTCACCATCCCACCATGTACACAAGCGCTCAACACCCCAATAAACGTCACATGGTTAGGCCTAACACCTGCCTCTCTCATGCAATGGAAGCATTCAACCGCATCTCTAACATACCCATGCATTGCACATCCAACAATCATAGAAGTCCATGAGGATACATTTCTTTCCTTCATCCTTGAAAACACCCTATAAGCTAGATCCATCTTCCCACATTTACCATACATATCAATAAGAGAATTCATCATCAAAAGATCAGACCTCTCCATTTCTTTCGCTTGAAAGACGCATTTATGCAATTGAGAAGCCAAATCCAAGTCTCCAAGACTACCACAAGCAGATGTCGCACTAACCATAGTCACATCATCTGGCTGCAACCCACTCTCTCTCAACTCCAAGAACATTTCTATTGCTTCTTTAGCACGCCCACCTTGTGACAACCCTGCTATAATAGCATTCCAAGACCCTAACTTTCTTTCACTATTTTGTTCAAACACCTTACGTGCATTTTCGAATTCACCAGCTTTAGCGTACAAGCTAATAAACCCACTTTCACAATACATATTAGTTTCTAATCCGAGCTTTATTGCAACCCCATGGAGCTGCCTCGCCACAACATAATTGAGAACCTGACAAATCGCCTTTAAAACAATGGGTAACGTGAAAGTATCTGGGCGAACACCAGTTCTTGACATAGTGATGTATACATGTAGAGCGTTGGTAGGGGAGTTAAGCCTAGTATATGATCTAATAATGTTGTTCCAGTGGAATTGTGCAGGGTACAACTCCAAGAAATGATTTCGGATTATCTGGGCGTAAATTTGGTGAAGATGCTGCAGATTGTTGCAATCTGATATTCGGGTCGCTATTATCTTGTCATTGCTGTCGAGAATATTAGTAGCAGTGGCTAAACTATGACTCAGATGAAATGAGTTCACCCTGTTTCTACCAAATCGGAGCAACAGACAATGAAATGGACTCATCAAATATATTTGGTGGTGAATTCTTACCGGCAATCGCAATCACACACTTATCCTTGAGGAAAGAAGAAATCACCTATTGGTTTGTGTATCTACTGAGATTATTTGAATCCTATCTTGAGTAGTTTTGCCACTTGATTGACCGTTTTACGTCTCTATTTGATGTAGCAACAGCGCATGAGTTTATCCCAAGCCCCCAACTAGTTTTTGTTTAACAAGCACTAACATCACACAGGAACAATTTGCAGAGACCACTTGAGAACACCAAATTCTAATAGCATATCAGTTTCAATTTGTGTTGTCACCATCATCCACTGTCCAAGAAGAACAAGAAAGAAATGAATCTGCTTTCCGCAAGAAAACAGATATATATCTTCATTGTGGAGAAGGGTGGTTAAAAAAAATTGTCTAAGCTTTATCCAATAAATTAATTTTCCTATACAAGTTACTTATTGGGACTAGAAACCTTTCTTAATCTGAAATGACTTACAAGGAAAATTCTGCGGAACTGGTCCCTAAAGAAAAACAAGCATCCATCAGTGACTATAAACACAAAAAAAAGTGACTTCAGAGCCTCAAAATTGGTTGCTTCTCTAGCTTGTTGGAACTATTACTCGTTTCTACTACTTCTTTCTCTTGCCATGCTTCTTCTGCAATCCTTTTCCTTTGCTTGTACAAGTATAGTTCTTCTTTACAAAGTATGGAATAATGTAGAGAGAGCACAAATTGCCTTAATCAAGCAACATGCAGTCAGCATAAGCATTGACTGACTTGCGCCTTCCTTGAGACTATCATGGTATGAGTACCCCGACGAACTATGGTATGCTGGGAAGATGGCATGAATACCTTAGGCTACGGTGCGAGGCACGAGCCTGCTGCAATGCAGCACCTATTCTTGAACCACCCTGAAAGAGAGACTCATAGAATTGACATATGAATTGGGACAACTCCCCCTCATCATCATCCCAAAAGAATTGAGAGCGTCCTTCACTTTCATCTGGCTCACTATCATCCCAATCACTTGCTGGACTAGTAGGTTCAGTATCGTCATCCTCTGCTTCTTCTTCGCCAATTTCAAACTTTCCATTATCGAAAGAATTAAAATCACCTGACCCGTGAAATGTAGACAACTGCACTTCATCAGGCTCAGAGGAAGGACATATAACAGCTTTTGCTCCTGAATCTAGAAAAGCCTTGATTACAGGTTGGATAGGGCCATAGAAACCAGTGAAGATTATAATTCTCTCCCTCCATGCTCCAACCTGGAAGGTTTAACAAATACTCAAAGGATTAACAAATTTTCTAGAGTAATAGGTCACAAGCACAGGTCTTGGAGAGATAACACGAAATGAATCAACATACTCACTGACAGTGTATTAAGCCTTCTATCATGACAAATGAAAGAAATGCAACACAATTTACTTGAAAGATGAATGACAGAGCAAGTGATTAACCAAGTCTTAATAATAAACCTTTAGTATAGCAAGTGATTAACCAAGTCTCAGTAGTAAAACTTAAGTATACATTAAAAAGGGGGAAGTGTAATCAAAAAGCCTCTGATTCTTCAAACCTGAGACAGAAATAGACCAGTCATTACATATTCAAGTTCAGATCTTGAAGTGATGCAGAGCAAACCAGAGATAAATTTGTTCAATTAATTTTTTAGGATAAAAGCAATATGTGGAAAGCGCTTTCCATGCACATCCATTAGGGAGCATCAGCACTACAGAGCTTTATCTGCTGAAGACCTCACTGCTCCCATTATCAGGGCCGCAGCAAAAATCCCCTGAGATCTCTGAGTGCTGAAGAGTTTATCCTTGTCACAGATAATTGAACCCAAGTAAGTAGGTTCATTTGTCATATTTTGAACCAAACCAGATTGGTGTTGACTTGTTCAATCAAATTATGCCAACCATATAACATCATTTGGAAGAGATAAGTTCCTTCTCACACATAATCTTGCAATGAAAA